GCTCAAGCACGCCTAAATTTGAACTCAGCACCTCTGAAAAATAAAGAATCATCATTAGAATTGTCTAAAGAATCAGTTCTCAAACTTAGATTCACCAAAATCTGATGGTTCTGCACATGTCGTGACACCTGTCAATCAATCCAGTAGGCTCGTCAGCAACTGACCAATCAGTGACCAGTTTGTCCTGAAGTGAACGCCCCCCCACCTGCAGAGCTGCAGCTCTTAATTCATTTCAGTAAAGAGGTGACATCTTTTCATCTTTTCATCATTTCATCTTTTCATCTTTTCATCATTTCATCTTTTCATCATTTCATCTTTTCATCATTTCATCTTTTCATCTTTTCATCATTTCATCATTTCATCTTTTCATCATTTCATCATTTCATCTTTTCATCATTTCATCTTTTCATCTTTTCATCTTTTCATCATTTCATCATTTCATCTTTTCATCATTTCATCTTTTCATCATTTCATCTTTTCATCTTTTCATCTTTTTATCTCCTGATGCATGCTTAATAATCCAGGTAGAAAAATCCAAAAAAGTTCAATCTGGTCCTCTGAGCTGGTTGATCCACTCTGAGAAGGTGCTATTTAAGAGACTGAGCTGAATACAGCGCCTCAGACTGAGGAAGTCCTCAGGATGAGAGACGAAACGTTTCTACATTTTTTGCTTTGTTTTGTTTTTTGAATGTCCAGAGGACCAGATTTAACTTTTTTGGATTAATATTTTCATGTTTGTCTACTTTTAATAAACTTTTGAAAAACACACCAGAATGCATCCCCCCCCCCCCCCCCCCCAAACACACCCACCCACACACACACACACTATTTGCATTCTGTCATGTTTGGTTTGCAAATTAAGCCCTGGCGGTAACCATGGCAACGAGTTCAGGATGTAAGAAGCTTAAATCAGAGTGGAACCTGACAGCCGGCGCTGGTCCGGTTGAATCTTTTGGTGAGACCAGAAGCTGAAGACCACGCCCACTCCTCCTCGTCCTCCTCATAATCTTCCTCCTCATCCTCGTTTTCTGGCAGCTCTGACTCAGGCTGGTTGATGATGTCACCGACAGCTCGCTCTGATTGGTCACTGCAGAACATCAAACAGAAAACAATCTGACTGAGATTGGTGGGTCCAACGGGCCAGGACCGGTTCTGATCAACATCCAGTCAGGAACCAGAACCAGATCCAACAGATTGGACTGAGGAACCTCAGCATCTTCATTTCTGCCTCTTCCAGTTCTGTCTCCTGTCCTATTGTCCATGTCCCTGTCTCCAGACCAGACACATACTGGTCTCACCTCTGTCCTCTGACCCGGTGGGCCTGTTAACAGAACCTCACAGTGGTTCTGCAGTGATCAGCTGAACTCACTCAACATCTGCACCGACAGAACTCCTGACCCGTCCACTTGTTTGTTTGTTGATGACCAATAATAGGCCCCACCCACTCACCTGGCCTCCTCTGCGTCATCAAACTGACCGGGTGCACGTGCCACCGTCGCCATGACGTCACAGCCACGAACACGAAAACCAAGGCCCTTGTCCGCTTCGGTTCGACGACCTGATCCTGGCAGCCCGATCCCGGTTCGGAATGACACTCACCACCGCGTGTTTCACCTCGCTTTACTTCCGGATACGAGCACGTGACTACAGAGCGTCAAGAGTCACGAGGATTCGAATTTCCGTTGTTCCGAAGTTTTTTTTATTTTTTTATTTTTTTTATCTTTATTTAAGTAAATGACAAATATACAACAAACAAACAGAAGAACACAACACTTACAGGAGTTCCGGAGTTTACGAGAGTCCTCTGCAGACCAGGTGGGCGTTTCTAAAGGACAAACACTGATTGGCTAACTGTAAGTTACGTCAGCTCTTTTTAAAGCGTTGGTTACGTAATGTAACCCAGATTCTATGAGGATAGACGCAGCCCGTTAAGAGCTGTCGCTGATGGGTTTCATCCGGACCAGAGTCCTGTAGAGAGAGAGCTGCGACACTCTTTGAACTCGCCGATACGCGGTCACGTGGTTCATGCAGCTTCAATAGTTCCAAACAGTTCATCCTGTCAGTCAGTTTGAGGCTGCTGGTGCAACACTACACAAAAATCCACTTTTCTTACTTTACCTGTGTCTTTCAGTAATTATTGAGCAGTAACAAACTGATTACTGATTATTTCACAGACTATGCATTTTATCAAAGCATTCTTAGAAGCGGCTGATACATTTATCATTAAATTTTAAAGTGAAACAAGATTTTATCATTAAATTTTAGAAGGAAACGAGACTGCAAACACATATTTGTTAGAAAAAAAAAGTCTATGCAGTACAGTGATCAATATATTCATGTCAGTGTTTTATAACGTTAAATAAAGATCAGAGTAACTCCTGTTATAAAGCTGGTTCTGATGGTCTCTGCAGGATAAACCTTGTCCTCCAGCAGTTCAGATCTGCTCCAGCTTACCTCAGATCATCTGGATGAACTCTTGATTTCTATACAAGATATTAATTCAACCTTTATTTAAACAGGTTCGTCCCATTGAGCCACGAGGACTCATTTACAAGAGACACTGAATATAATTGTTGTATTTGTCGTTTTTTATGGCACCAAGTACCTGATGACTGAGTGCAAAAATACATTTCCAAACAATTTATTATAAACTATGTAAAACAAGCTTTAATAAAGTACTTTTACTGCCATTTATACTGTTTATTAATGACATCATCTCAAGTCAGCACCATCATCATCATCATCATCACAACAACACAAAGTGAGAGCTGTAAATTTAATCTGCACAAACATTTTCAATCAGGGCTCAAAATGTTTCACTGTCAAAGAAATGTTCAATAAAATAAACTGATGTTGCTCTACAGGCACATTTAGAGAGAGGACAGTTCAGAGACACAGTGAGGACGTGTGAGACAGAGACACAGTGAGGACATGTGAGACAGAGACACAGTGAGGACGTGTGAGACAGAAACACAGTGAGGACGTGTGAGACAGAGACACAGTGAGGACGTGTGAGACAGAAACACAGTGAGGACGTGTGAGACAGAAACACAGGGAGGACGAGTGAGACAGAGACACAGGGAGGACGTGTGAGACAGAAACACAGGGAGGACGTGTGAGACAGAAACACAGTGAGGACGAGTGAGACAGAGACACAGTGAGGACGTGTGAGACAGAGACACAGGGAGGACGAGTGAGACAGAGACACAGGGAGGACGTGTGAGACTGAGACACAGTGAGGACGAGTGAGAATGAAGGAGGTTCAACCAGTTGTTCATGGACCAGAACCAGATAAGAACAGCAGAACTTCCACTGACCAGTGACCTGACCAGTGATCTGACCAGTGACCTGACCAGTGACCTGACCAGTGACCTGACCAGTGACCTGACCAGTGATCTGACCAGTGACCTGACCAGTGACCTGACCAGTGATCACACATGTTGTTCTAAATTAAACTTTGGTACGAACAGTGTTAAATAAGACATGTCATATTTTTATTGAACAATAATCTTCATTCTAACAGTGACGTTGTAATTTCAGAGACTGAGGAAGAAACAGAAATGAGGCGAGTGAGATGAGGGACAGATGAAAATGTGTCCTCAGAGGACGGGGACATGTCAGGATCTGATGATCCAGGATCAACAGGACCAGGAGGATGGATCAACAGGACCAGGAGGATGGATCAACAGGCAGTCAGGGAACAGAGATGAACAACCTGAGGAACAATTAGAACACAAAAAATACATAAGCAGGACAGAAGAAACTCAGACAAGAACATTAATTATAAGATAATTAGTCGTGCAAAGAAAAGTGTTGATGAAAATAAATTCTGACATATTTTTACAAAAGATCAGATGAAGACAACTGGCATGAAGAAGAACTTCCAGCTCCATCTCAATGAACCTGTGATAGTTTAATAAGTTTCTACAGTTTATTGATGCTGATTTATTCTTGTAATAATTCTTATTTCTTGTTCTGTCTTGAAAGAGTCTCATCTCAACTTGACCCATGATCACCAAACACTAAACTAATGATATAAAACTAATGTCAATGAACAGTCCTGCAGTAAATACCAACTTTGTGAAGGTTATGGTGTTAAAGTAATTTTATTCAAACATCTTGATTCAGCTGTTATTGTTTAATAGAAGACAGAAAATGAGATCTTGTACCTTTGTGATACTTTGAATGCAACATTCAGTTCATGAAGTCATTCTCCTCTGGTTCACCTGGAAAACATGAAACATTGACTCATCTCCACAATCACGTTTTTCTTTAATGATAATGTCACAATTTATGCTGCAGTCTTTGACAAATGATCTATAACTTGAACTAAATTAACCACGTCTATCTCTCAGAAAAAAAGGCTAAATGTTTTCTAGTTGAGAGTTCAGTAACTGGAATTTAATAACTTTCTATGGGAGTTTATGGGAATCTATGGGAGTTTATGGGAGTGGGAGTCTATGGGAGTTTATGGGAATCTATGGGAGTTTATGGGAATCTATGGGAGTCTATGGGAGTTTATGGGAGTGTCTCAACTCTCTCTTTATAGGGCTCTGTATGGAACTATCTGGCAGTCTCCATGGACTGCTCACGTCCTCGCCGGCCTCCTCATGCATAAATATATTATGATGTCATCAGTATGTTGCTGTTTCATGTGCTGAGGTCTTTTATTTTATTTTTTTTCAACCTCCACACTTTGTCCCGTCTAGGACACAGTGCGAGATTTGAATTTCTTTACACCCACACTCCCCGTCATGTTTCTTTTTCCTTATGTGATAAAAATGGCTGCGCCTCTGGAGGCCGCGGCCTCAGTCACCTCCGTCTGTCTGTTTCTCTCGGACGGGCTGAACTGAGATGTAATTTTGCTGCGCTTCGGTGCAATGACAATAAAACGGATTCTGATCCTGTGGGGACGAGGTGGAACACCAGACCTGCAGAGCTCCGGTCCATAAATGATGCTCTGGTCTGGGAAGATGCACGACATCCTGCTTCGTTGAAACGAGCTCGTTACCTCGACCTCATACACGGAACTTCTTGAGGACGTCGTTTGATGACTAGTGATGCCTTTAAACATTTTTATTTGTTGAGAAGTTTATTTATTTACTTATTTTAAGCAGTTTGAAACCTGACAGTGATGTCACTGTTTAAAGGAAACAACTGCTCAATAAATGAGTAAAATGCAACTTGTTTGGGTTCATGGTGTGACCCATGTACTGATGTTTTATTTTAAATTTTTATTGTAACTGACCTCCAAAAGAGCCAGGAACAGGGACTCAGCAGCTGATCCTCCATAGAAAAACTATAGGAACCACACATTTCACATTTTCATATAAAGAAACTGGTCCAGATGACATGATTTAACCATTTTTAATGTTAATAATCTGGATTATTGAGCTTTTTCTCTGTGGACTACAGGCCACGTATTATTTGATCTGTGACCTTTAGTGAAGGTTTTTGTTTGGATTAATCAATAAATGTCTCTAAAAAAGTTCAATCTGGTCCTCTGGACATTCAACAAAACAAAACAAAGCAAAAAAAACTAAAAAAAAAATGTAGAAACGTTTCGTCTCTCATCCTGAGGACTTCCTCAGTCTGAGGAG